GTGGTAGAATCTACATCTCCAGGATGCGGTATTCAATGAATTAGAATTTTCCTTTAAAAGTGGTTTCCTAAACAAATTGGTTTAACCACAAACTTTTGAAACAGCTGTAAATCTTCTTCCATTTCACATTGAGTCCAATCAAAGGGTAATGTTACAAATTGTAGCTGACATAATCCAGCCTGATGCATCACCTGTAGCAGATCTCTCTAACAAAGAATTAGATCCTGAAGTTGAAGGTGAGGATGAAGGAAATAATGATGCTGAGATGAATCTAGGAGTATTAGATGACCATGAGATAGTTAGTAGCCAACAAGATGGATGTAATGCTGAGAATACTAGAAATGATATAAACAACCAGGACAAAAATGCAACACAAGGTGCTAGACTTCACATGGTCACTCAAAGCAAAGTTTGAATTTTCAAACCAAAAATCTAGACAAATCAAGTACTGAATAGATATGTAGAAGTTGAACCACAGACTATTGATGATGCCTTGATGAGTGATAGCTGGAAGAAGGCAATGCAAGAAGAGTGTGATGCCTTGATGAAAAATAAAACATGGACTTTGGTGCCTCCCAGGACTAGAATGAAAATAATTGGCAATAAATGGGTATTCGGATTGAAATGTGACTCAGAAGGAAAAGTACAAAGCATAAAGCAAGGCTTGTTGCTAAAGGATTCCTCCAAACACCTGGAATAGATTTTGGTGAAACCTTCAGCCTTGTTATCAAGGCATCAATCCTGAAGATTATTTTGACACTCGCTGTGTCCAAAGATTGGCAGATCAGACAAGTAGATGTGAATAATGCATTCTTGAATGGCAAGCTAAATGAGGTAGTATACATGAATCAACCACAAGGGATCATAGATGAGAAAAATCCTAAGTTTGTGTGCAAATTGGGCAAGGCTTTGTATGGACTAAGACAAGCAGCAAGAGCATAGCATGAGAAGCTGAAAAACAACTTGTTGAAATAGAATTTTAAACAATCTAAGGCAGATAATTTTAAACAACTTGTTGTTTGCACTGGCTTACGTGGATGACATAATAATAACATGGAATAACAATCAACAATTGCAAGATTTCATTGACAACTTGAACACCTATTTTGCTCTAAAGGACATAGGAAACCTCAGTTAGTTTCTAGGTATGGAAGTGAATAGAGATACAACGAGCTTGTACTTGACTCAAACAAAGTATGTTGCTGATTTGCTTGAGAAGTTTGGCTATGACAACTTAAAACCAAGTCCAACACCTATGGCAGTAGGCAAATTGATCTCTAAGACTGAAAAGCTGATCATGAAGGATCCAACTCTATACAGAAGTGCAATTGGGAGTCTTCAATACTTTGCTCATACAAGACCTGACATTACTTACACGGTGAATAAAATGAGCCAGTTTCTTCAGTCACCCATAGATGCTCGCTGGAAGGCACTTAAGAGAGTGTTTAGTTACTTAAACGGTACATCAAATTATGGTCTTGCTATCTAAAAAAGTGACAGCTTAAACATAACATCATTTGCACATTCTGACTGGGCATCATGTCCAGATGATAGAAGATCTACTGCAGGCTATTATGTATATCTTGGAGACAACTGAGTGTTGTTGTGCTCTAAGAAGCAACATGTTGTTGCAAGGTCAAGCACGGAGGCTGAATACAGAGCGTTGGCCCATAGTGCATCAGAAATTATATGGATTCAGTCTCTAATGGAAGAGTTAAAAATATCATAGAAGATAGTTCCAAAAATATGGCGTGGCAATCTAAGTGCAAGTGTTTTGGCTTCAACTGGTCTGTCATGCACGCACCAAGCATATAGAACTCAATGTTCATTTTCTAAGAGGAGAATTGGAAATACATTATGTTCCATCATCAAATCAAACAACAGACTTGTTGATAAAACCTTTCACTCACTCAAGGTTCTTATTCCTTAAAGACAAGCTTGAAGTAGTAGAGACACTTCACCTTGAAGAGGGGGTGTTGGAATCACTCAACCAATTTAACAGAAGCAGTTAACTAGCTAGCAGCACCCATGGTGCGAGGCAGCACACTTCCTGATTTTTAGGAGTGGGAATATAAATTGTTATCCACTTAGCAGAACCTTGTTGGTAGAAACAGAATTCTCCTTTTGTATGTAACTGCTTATATTGAATTGTATGTGTATACAAGGTAAACGAAAAGGAATGATCAATGAGCAGAAATTTACACTCAAAACATCTTGGTTTTCAACTTGGAGTATGAGACTCGAGGTCGACTAACGGAATGAGGCTTGTCAGGAGTATGCAAATCTAGGGGCACGGACATGGACGAACCTTGAAGGGGTCTCATTTTGACCCCTCCAATTTCTGACTTTTTTTTATTTTTGCTACCTATTTTTTTAGAATGTCAAAGTATAAAAGTACCTACACTATAAATATATTATGTAACCGGCAACTCCAAACTCAACTTTGTACCTTTGTCTCTCTTTCCCAGAAAAAATTTTCAGTGTGGGCGAGTGAATAAAGGTCAAAAAATTAACAATATTATAACACAAATATCATACTAAAAGTTATTGTACTTTTCTTTAAGCACTAACTTAGGTTGTTATTTTTAGCCCCCATTTGATTCTTATTCTTTCGCCACAAAAGTGAAAAATATAATCCTAATAATCACATCAAGCTATCGTATTTGACTTTCTATCTCTTGTGTGGGTTCCATAACGACTATATTCTTCATTTTCATTTTTAGAAAAATGGGAATCAAACAGAGCCCATTTCTTCCATATTTGTGTAAATTGTCCAAAAATAAACCAATTCTTCAAATGGACAGCCCACATAATAATTCAGAATCCCATACCAAGTTACCAACCCATCAAACATTTAAACCATACCAAATCCCACAAAAATTATAACCCAAACACAACCTTGTCCTACTTTCTAGGTTTTAGACAGACAGTAGAAGGAAAGGAAGAGAACAGCAAAATCTTGAAGGCTCTTACGGTTCTTTTCTAGCAGAGGGAGAGGACAGCAAAAGCATGAAGTCTAATTCTTCTCTCTTTTCATCTCCTAGGGTTTTCTTATTCTCCCCCTAGTTTTTCAATATGAGCAACCACAGTAGATTGAATATGGAAGATCTTGGTGTTGGTGAAAACATTTACCTCAAAGTTTAGTTCAGGCAGATGCCTGCACTGAGCCTGCCTTAGGTCCGCCTCAGTGCAAAATCACCAATCACTGCTATCTGAAATCATAATCGCAAGCGAATGATCTTGGGGACTCGAATTCCAGCCTTTGAAAATTAAATTATGCGTTTTTCTTCTTTAGGTAAGGAAATCTCGAGTTGATCCTCCATTGAACTGATACAGAAATCTAACTTTTTACGACACTAGTAAAGAAATCCAAATTCAGGTCCATCTCACTATGAATCTTTGAAGTTTCTTACAATTTTTTATTGCGTGTGCGCGTGCGTGTAGTGAACAAAGAATTATAGAAAAAATAGTAATAATTTTGTTAAAATATTGGTGTTATATTGAAATTGGAGACAAGGGCAGACCCAATGTAGGCTCAATGCAAGCATCTGCCTGCACTGAACTTTGGGAAAAATATTTTTACCAGCACCAAGAGTTGCCATATTCAAGCTACTGTGGTTGCCTAAATTGAAAAACTAGAGGGAGAAAGAGAAAACCCTATGAGATGAAAAGAGAGAAAAGAGAACCAATGAGCCTTCAAGTTGTTGCTGTCCTTTTCCTCTGCTAGAAGAAAACCCGTAAGAGCCTTCAATATTTTGTTGTTCTCTTCCTTTGCTTCTACTATCTGTCTAAAAGCTAAAAAGTAGGAAAAGGCTATGTTTGGGTTATAATTTTTGTGGGGTCCGGTGTTTAAATGTTTGATGGGTTGATAACTTGGTAGGGAATTCTGAATTGTTATACGGGCTGCACATTTATAGAATTGGTTTATTTTTGGGCAATTTACACAAATATGTAAGAAATGGACTAAACAGAAAAATAACTTCTAGTAAATATTAAAAATAACAACCTAAGTAGTGCTTAAAGAAAAGTACAATAACTTTTAGTATAATATTCATGTTATAATATTGTTGTTATTTTTTCACTTTTATTAATCTCGTTCACACTGAAAAAAATTTCTAGGTCCACCCCTGATTGGAGAGATATTAATCTAAACCCTAATTGCTCTCCATTTATAGGCTAATAAAGATCCTGACTTTCCTAACGTAAACATTCAAATTTTGTTAAAAGAATAATATGAGGAGAAAATGTGGAGATGCGGGGGATCGAAAACCGAGCCTCTTACATGTAGCGATAGCTCTGCCAATTAAGCTACATCCCCACTGTTAATTTCAATCATAAATAATATCTATAGAATTTCAGTAGAGCATACCTAACCTTGGAAGCTATTTGGCTTAGCTTTTGAGAAGCCAAAAGCTGCTTTGAGACACATTTGACTAATTTAATGAAATTATTTTTCTAATTAGAAATATGTTCGGAGGAAGCTTGTAACGCCTCGAAACCTATGTCTGGAATGTGACTCAATTAATTTCTTTATCAATAAGAAAAATGGATTTACTCATATTGTAATACAAAAATTTGAATAAAAAATTGCAAAATAAAATAAACTATTTTATCGCCTCATAATATGTCAAATAAATTCAAATCACTAATGAAATATAAATTCCTCGATTTTGAAAATAAAATTCTAATTGTAAATAAAATTCTTGATCCAACAACATGAACTTTGTTAGCAGTCTCAAACTCCAACTTTGATCTATCAAGTCTTTGTAAAAATAATTTAAAATATGGAGTAAGCATATGAATGTACTCAATATAGATTTCATACCAGTATTTTCACAATTTAATATAAAAAGCAAGTAAAGTACGCATATAATATAATTTTCTAGTGGAATAAAAATTTGACCATCTCATTTTCACTTAGTTCATATCCATTCTAGGGATGGCAAAAAAAACTCATTAAACCCGGTACCCGCGAGGTCTTACCCAGAACAGGGCGGGGGATGGCGACCCGGGACAAGTACGGGTATTAAGGTACCAGCCTTGCCCCTTTTTACATTCTCTCTCTCTCTCTTTTTTTTTTAATTTAACAATTAACAGTTTTTAGCCTTTTTAACCAAATTTTTAACCCAATTGCCTAACACAGGCCCAAACCCACAACTAAACCTTTAACCCAACCCAATGCCCACTTGTCCAAGATTTTTCCATAATCTATATGCGTTGAGAGTTGAGGGATATTTCCAACTCATTGACAACAAGAGGGTTTTTTCATTTTCCAACCTCTCTTCTTGCCGTTCGCCGCTGTCGTTGTCGTCGAAGTTTTTGCACGGGCTAGTTTTATTACCAATAACTCTTTGTGCTTCTTATTTGTTTTATTTTTTCTTCCACCAAATATTTCTGAAAAAAGCCAAGAGATCTTTGAGAATTTTTATTTTCTCGACTTTTTCTCACTACATCTGTTCTCCAAGCAAACAACTTCTCCCTCCACTACAAATATTGCCTTTTCTTAACACAATTCTTTACTAGAGGAAATGAATGCTTGTCATTTGTTTTTATTTCATTCAACTTCATTGCTGGTACTATTGAGCATGTTTGGTCCACCATCAAGGCATATGCTCATAGAGAAGCACAAGAATGAGCCATACATGGGATAGTTCTATGTAACTGGAGGAAAGATATTTTTATGTTAATCCAAAGAGCTGCGTTTGGAGGAAAGATATTTTTATTTTTTGTTTATTTTTCTTTTTTCCTTACATGAGTCGTAATTCTTTGTTATGTAACTGGAGAGTAATTTTTCTCTTTTCATTTGGAGGAAAGATATTTTTCATTTATTTTTCTCTTTTTCGTTTTGGCTAAATCTCACAGTGTTTCACTCTATTGAACGTTTATATTTTCTCAAAAAAAATGAAGGATGAAGCTATTTGTATAGCACCCTCACTGTGTTGTGGAGCCTGCTCCATTTTTTTTACGAGCACGGGCCCCTCGATGTGAGGGTGCTTTGAACCGAGTTGTGTGTCATGCTGTGCACACAGCTCGGTCCAAAAATGAAATACAAGCACCAAAACTAAATTGCAATAAGCAACACATCATCGGGTAGTGATAAAAATGTAAACGAGCATCAAGCAACAATACCAAGCAAGTAGCATTACAATAATTGTACAATATTGGTTATCTTGAATTGCTTTATCGTTTTCTTGTTGAATTTTTTTTTATTGTCCTCTTAATCATTTCAAATGTCTGCATTACGGCATTGTACACCCATATCGAGCATTGGAAGTACTCCACTACGATCAAGTACTAGTCCATCCCATGAAGATTTACCTAGTTAGGGAAACCACAACAAGATCCAATAGACTTGCGCCAATATTAAAAAGACATTAAGCAAAAAATATTGTATCCATTAAAGGAAGCTTATGGGAAGGTTTCAATTGGTACTTACTCCTTTGATCAAGACAATGCTAGGAGGGAACTTGGAAATATGATAATCTTGTATGAGTATCCGCTTTTGATGGTTGAATACATTGGATTTAGAAGATTCATGAATACTTTGCAACCATTGTTTAAGAATGTTTCTCGTAATACTATAAAGAATGGTATTTTGAAAATATATGATTACAAGAAATTGAAAGTGATGAGCTTATTGGAGAAGAACAATGGCAAAATTACAATCACTACAGACATGTGGACTTCTAATCAAAAGAAAGGATTCGTGGCCATCACCGTGCATTTCATAGATGAAGTTTGGAAACTTCAAAGTTGAATTATGAGGTACTTTGATCTTGCATAAATTAATTTATTTATTTTAATGTACTATTTAAAATTATTATTGTCGTAATTATGTCGTTTTTATTTTAAATATAAGTTCATATATGTGTCGTGTCCACACACGACTGAGGCACCGAATATATCGCTGATGGACTACTTATTGGATTGGAATATCGATTGTAAGTTGTCTACTTTGACTGCTAATAATTGTACTACAAATGATGCCATGATCAACATTCTTTTAGATAAGTTTTCTAGTAGTTTGCATTTGTTAATTGGTGAATTTTTCCGTATGCATTGTTGTGAGCACATATTGAACTTGATAGTTAAAGATGGTTTGGAGATCATTAACTCAAGTGTTGAGAAAATTCGTGACAAAGTTGCATATTGGACAGCAACTCCAAAAAGAGAAGAAAATTTTGAGAATTTTGCATGTCAGTTGAAATTCTCTTGCTCCAAAAAGTTAGTACTTGATTACAAAACTAGGTGGAACTCTACGTACTTAATGCATCATGGTTCTTTATAGTGTAGAGATGTTTTTTTCTCGACCAAAGCAACGTGAGTCACAATATAGATGTTTGCCTAGTGATGAAAATTGGAAATTGGCGAGAGAGATATGTGAAAGGCTGAAGGTATTTTTTGAAGCGACTGAAATAGTTTCTGGGACTAAGCACCCAACATCAAATCGTTATTTTTCTAATATTTATGAGATAAAGTTACCTATTTACGATTTGATGAAATCTCCTTATGAGGAAATCAAAATGATGGCTTCAAGTATGATTAACAAGTTTGAAAAATATTGAAACGAGATTCATGGAATTCTGGCAGTAGCTAGTGTGTTGAATCTAGGGATGGGCCGCTCGGGCTCGTCATTTGACGAGCCTGAGCCCGAGCCCAAGCCGAGCAGGGGCTCAATCCCACGAGTTGGGCCTGCTCGGCTCGTCACGAGCACATGGCCCACGAGCCATTTTATGACGAGCCTGAGCCCGAGCCCAAGCCGAGCAGGGGCTCAATCCCACGAGTTGGGCCTGCTCGGCTCGTCACGAGCACATGGCCCACGAGCCATTTTGACGAGCCCATGAGCTCGGCTCATGGGCTTGTCAAAAAATATGAATTGTTTTTTAAAAAAAAGGTTCAAAATGTGCAAATTTACCAAAAGAAAAATTAAAAAAATAAAAAAAATCACGAGCTCACGAGCGGCTCGTGAGGTCACAAGCTCGTGGGCTGAGCCCGAACAACGAGCCGAGCTCATCTTCCACGAGCCCGAGCCGAGTTCATGGGTTAAAGGGCTGAGCTGAGCCATTGCCATCACTAGTTGAATCCAAGATTTAAAATGAAGTTGGTTGAATATTATTTTCCAATGATTTATGAAAATGAAGTTTCAAATCTTGAGATTGAAAAGATTAGAAAATTTTGTCAGAAGTTACTAAATGAGTACAAAATAAGACATGGATCAAGTGAGAACGTGACTCAATCTTCGACCCAAATTGAGGCATCTACTTCTGTAAGCAAAAAAGATCAGTTGCCACAATTTGATTTATTTGTTTGTAATATCACTAGTACTGATAGTATGAAGTCAGAGCTCGATATTTTATTGGAAGAGCCTCTATTACCTGTATCGAATGATTTTGACATATTGGCAGAGTGGAATGCAAATTCAACAAAATATCATTCTTTGCAAAAAGTTGCAAGAGATATTTTAGTTATCCTAGTATCTATAGTAGCGTCAAAGTCAGCATTCAGTACCAATGGTAGATTTGTTAGTCCACACAGACATAGACTTTAGAGGCTTTGATGTGTGCTAGAGATTGATTGTGGGCTGGCATTCATGGTACGAGAAACACAATTACCTGTGTTTTTCATAATTATTTTTGTTATTTCTTTACTGCTAACTAGTTTTATTTATCGTTAAAACATTCATCGCCTACATCGTACTTTGGATGCTATGCACAGTTGAGTGACGCTATATTGAAGATGAGGTAAATTGATTTTTCTTTAAATGGACTTTGAATATAAATAGTTAAATATATCATTTTTCTAACTAATAATCACAGTTACAGTCATCAATTTTTAGGGAGCTTGATATAGACATTCTAGAAGACGATGGCAGCACTTGAAGATCTACAACATGAAGTGTTGTATTATGTGATGTTTGTTACTTTGTTTGCACGCTAAGATGTAATTTATCCTTTTTGCTTTTTATAGGTAATGCAATTGTATAATATGACATAATGAAGTACTTTGGATCTAATCTTTATTTTATTTTTAGGGGTTTTATATTTATTGTATTATAGAACTGTTATAATCAAACATCCATGCTAAACATTAAATTAAAAAAAGGGGGTAATGAACAGGGCAGGGCCCCTACCTGCCCCGCTTTAAGTGGGTAACGAGATGGGAAATCACCCGTGGGGTTGGAAGCGGAAAAAGGCCGACCTGCCCGTTGTCATCCCTAATCCATTCTCAATCTCTACTTACGGTATTTAGTCCTGTGATTGATATATGTATATATCCACATAATAATGCTTTATATTATTATCCAGAAGATCCTTATTTGATTTAAATAACATAAAATACTTAATTTAAAATATTAAAAAGTGAAAACACAAAATCATTTGACATTTAGAGAAATCCATACCTATTCTTTAAATTCATTGTGTACTTGAGCTATCTATAGCTGAAAATTCTTACGAACAAATCTTGAACGCGCTAAAAAAGATGTTCTTCCCTTTTCTTTCATTTTCCTTCCTTTTTCTTTCTTCTCACTTCCCTTCATTTTTCGTGTTCTCTCTCTCTCTCTCTCTCTCTCTCTCTCTCTCTCTCTCTCCTCTTCTCTCTTTTTTTCTTTTATCTTTCTTCTCTTCTCTATATATAATAATTAAATAGTTGTGATAACGATAATAATCTATCTAGAAATTTTAATTAGAATTTAAATTGAACTTTTATCAAACAACTTTATTAAAGAAAATTCTAACTTCATGAGAATAAGATTCTAGTATAAATTTGTTAAAAATATAAATTTATCTAAATACTTTTATATCAAATAATCCGATAATAATTCAATATATATCCAAATATTAAATTCTAATTTTGTTAAAACTCTTATTTTCAAGGTATGAATATGTTAAAATTCTAAAATTATCTAAACACCTTTAGACCAAATAATCCGATAATTATTTAATAGATATCCAAATATTAAATTGTAATTTTGTTAAAACTCGTATTTTCCAATATTAGGATTATTAGCACAAAGTCCCTATAAAATGTTAAAGTTGCTAAGTAGCCATAAAATCTCAAAACTTGCATTTATGCCTCATAATATATATTGTACATATTTTTTGGGTATTACCAAGCTAAGTCCACTGTAGCTTTATTTAAAAGTACTTCCAAAGTAGGAAATTCTTTTAGCAGTTAGTTTTCAAACAAAAATTAAAACAGCTTCCTCAAGAAACTCTCTAACGGGAAGCAAAATTAAAAGTTACGTCAACCATGCCCTCAATTTCTTTCAATGTGATTTTTCACTTTATTAGAAAATTTTATTCATGATAACTATGCATTGACTTCAAATGGATAAGAGAGTTGTTGATCAGCTAAATAGAGATATGGTGAATAGGCTTGGTCAGTTTGTTTGTGTTACTGTGCATTTCAAGTTCTTTGGTCCATTGGGAATTTTCTTGTTATTTCAATAATTGTTTTGTTTGGTTTTGATTTGTAATTTTGATTGAGAGAAAACAAGTACTATATTCTCATTTGATACATAGAATCCTCCAATTTGAAATTGCTATAATCAAGATAAATCATGTGCAACCTTAAGACCCACCAAGTCTACGTGGCATAGAAAGTAGCAAGTTGATTTGAAGTCGAGGCACAATCCTAAATAAACATTGATTTTCAGCTCGCACCGTCATCCTCCCCCAAGAGAGTTGCTAAGGTGAAAAAGCTCAAGCCGTGCAATGAGTAACCGAATTGACAACATCAATAAATGTACATACAATAGTCCAATACCAATTAGTTAGCATAACACTTGATGCTAAGATAAAGAATTTTGCTACTTCGCCCTAATGGTTGACATTCTCTCACATGCCGTGGATCCCACGTGAATAAAAAAGTCCAAAAAAAGTGAGGCCCCTGCCATTGTGAGAGTCGGTCATCCTCTCTGTCAAAAAAATTCAGACACTGTAGCGGAATTGTAATATTAATAGGTTGCTCCAATTTCAAGAAATTCGAGAGGTGTGCTAGTGTCAATCCAAGCAATGGAGGCCATGCTAGCAAGAGAATTCCAAGTTTGAGACAGAGCATGAATTTGATTATAAGCCGTTGAATTATAATGATATAAACGAGTGATAGATAATTGAGTAATAATTATGAGTCCTACGAAATATTAGATAAAATTAATGTTTGAGTTTGACTATTAAATCATAAGACTAATAAAAATTTTGAAGCGTTGAATGAAATAATTAGACATTAGGTAATTGTAGACTACACGATTTCTTGAGTTGTTCAGCTAATTTCAATTTTATTTCCCTCCTTTGAAATAGTCATATCTTTACAAGATTTTGAAACTCATGATTATTTTCTACCAGTCTACTTTGTATTTCTTTGTTTCTTCAATTTCATTCTGATCATGCCTTTTTTTACTATTATTATGATTCTGTACTTATCCTGGTAATTCAAATTTTGTCACTTTGATTCAGTTCAAATAAACTTATGCCCTTATTAATAAGCATATTTCCGAATAAATTTAGATTTGACTGCATGAACTTATTATATTTACAATGTTCTTCGCTCCCCCATTAGCAGCTTCTTGCCTTGCTGCACTTAAATAAACGTTTGTACACAAGAAGAGTGAGGAGCCCTTTATTCAATGGTCGAAATCTTGAGACACCATTTAAAGCATTTCTACAAGGAGATATCGAAAGGGCAAAAAATGAATAATTGACAGGACAATCTTGTTTCCATGTCCTCCTTTAAATCACAAACAGGAAATACCCAGGAAAAAGAACGAGAACAAATAAAATAAGGAAATACGAATGAGCAGGAGCATTTTCAGATATCTGATGATGTGAGTCTTTCATAATGCGGTCTATATATTTTTGAATTATCTATCTTCAAGCACGTATTTTTTAGAAGCATTTCCTGTGAACAATCGACGGCCCAGACTCGTCGTACTCTGCCTTTGCTATCCACATCTGCACCCAAAGAAACAATAAGGATCTCTCCTTAGAAATTTTTGAAGTTCTTGGATAGTAATGGATAGTTTCACCGAAATGAAAAAAACAAAAGATAAAAAAAATCTTGTTAATCGTACGCAAACATGTTTTAATAACAAACTTAATCAAACACAGAACAGGACATAAAGATTTATTTGATCAGAAATTACCAAGAACACGCATGACTGAATTGGTTAATTGGAGAATGCTGTAATCTAAGGGAAACATACCTGCTGGAATGTACTGAGAGAGGCCAGAATGGAACCTCCAATCCACACACTGTACTTCCTCTCAGGTGGAGCAACCACCTTGATCTTCATGCTGCTTGGAGCTAATGCCGTAATCTCCTTGCTCATCCTATCAGCAATTCCCGTGAACATCGTCGAACCACCACTGAGGACAATGTTACCATATAAATCCTTTCTAATATCAACATCACACTTCATGAGAGAATTGTAAGTGGTTTCGTGTATTCCAGCAGATTCCATCCCAATCATCGATGGCTGGAAGAGGACTTCTGGGCAACGAAATCGCTCAGCACCAATAGTGATTACCTGTCCATCAGGTAGTTCATAGTTCTTCTCCACAGATGAGCTTGTCTTCATTGTTTCCAATTCTTGTTCGTAATCAAGAGCAATGTAGGCAAGCTTCTCTTTTATGTCCCTTACTATTTCACGCTCGGCTGATGTGGTGAAAGAGTATCCTCTCTCAGTCAGTATTTTCATGAGGTTATCTGTGAGGTCACGACCAGCCAGATCTAGACGCAGGATGGCATGGGGAAGGGCATAACCTTCATAGATAGGTACTGTATGGCTTACACCATCCCCAGAGTCAAGAACAATTCCTAACAATTACGACAAGAAATTTAAATTAACGCAAATCGAGTTAAGTTCAGCAGATAAAAGAGATGTTTTTTTAGGCTTTAATTAGTATAGAAGTTGTTGGGAAATCAGTGTGTTATATAAACAGAATGTTTCATTTGTAGGCTTCTGAGTCTTTAAACTGATTGCAGGTGATAGCAAATATAATAATTAAAGATCCAGTAAATAATAAGAAATTCAACAATAAATCCTTAGTAACTTCCCTAAGAATATGTTTATTACACAATAGTAGATAGGACTTGATAGTAAAATGGACAAACAGAATGAGCGATTTGTTTCGCACATGGAATTAGAGTAGTGAAGTTCATAAATTACCAACAATACAAAAACATGGCAGTCCACTAGGTGCTCAAAGTGCATATTCAATTAGACACATTTTTCCAATGAGGCATTTTCAAGGGGAAGGGATGAACTTCTGAATGATTAGGTTGAAAGGCATTATTATGCAATTGGAAAATGACTTTTGCCATTTGACTGTAATTTAGTCGCTGTTAGCATGTGTTAGTACTGTTGACTAGGTTGAACTCAACCATATTCAGGAACCAAAAAGGTAACATCTTCTCATCGTACTGTCTAGTCTTATCCACTATTGCATACCAAGCATGTCGGTGTGTGCTTAATATGCACGCTGAAAACAGAACGGAATACATCGGTGCCCAGAGAATTGATCCAATTGACAATTTATTCTCATCAAAAAAGAAGTGCATGGAATGCATCGGTGTCCAGAGAATTGATTCCATTTCCTTACCAGTTGTGCGACCACTGGCATATAGGGAAAGAACGGCCTGGATGGCAACATACATGGCAGGGGCATTAAAGGTCTCGAACATGATTTGAGTCATTTTTTCACGATTAGCCTTGGGATTGAGAGGAGCTTCTGTCAAGAGAATTGGATGCTCTTCTGGAGCCACACGAAGTTCGTTGTAGAATGTATGATGCCAAATTTTCTCCATATCATCCCAATTGCTGACAATTCCATGCTCAATTGGGTACTTCAATGTCAAAATACCTCTCTTCGATTGAGCCTCGTCTCCAACATAGGCATCCTTTTGGCCCATGCCAACCATTACACCAGTGTGTCGAGGACGTCCCACAATGCTGGGGAAGACGGCTCTTGGAGCATCATCTCCAGCAAATCCAGCCTGAAAATTTTGAGATCAAATAATAATAACCAACTACTGCAAAATTCTATTGCATTTCATGAAGGATCCAAGCACCCAATGAATTCATTATTGCAATTATCCGAATAACACTGTTAGGCGGTTACCTTAACCATTCCTGTTCCATTGTCACACACGAGAGGCTGAATATCCTCACTTTCCGCCATCTCTTAAAGCACTCTATTGGGGAAAAAATATGTTAATTGAGGAGAAAGTTAATTCATAATCATAAACATGAAACTCTGCATCCAGTTACACACCAGGTGCAAGAGTGTAGATCAACATTTTGTAAAAATTGATCAGATCTAAATAGTAGCACCAAATGATGACTTCTCAGATGAAACATTTAGCAAAATTTTATTCTCAAACTCAATTAATGTATTTTAGCACCAAACCAAATATATATCAGGACTAATTGTATGAATGACAAACCTTGACAATGGAAAATCCATCTGAAAAAGCATATATGCAAAACTAACTCTTTATTTTTTCCGATTAATAAAGAGCATGGCTAAATTTTGATAATGGTATACTTAAAAAGAAATGATACATAAATTTCAGAAAATAGGATGGACAGATCAAATATGGCATCGCATTATTTGGAGGATACAGCTAGCTGGCTGGCTTTTGCATTAGTTTCTGCTCTGAGGACAAATGCACATATAAAGAACCAAATTGAAAAAATATGGGAAAATTGCAGCAGCGGTATCTAACCTTTTCTTTTTTGCAGATTTTACCCTAATATTTATTTTATACCAACGAAGGTCTTTAATCTTTCATAAATATGCACCCGAGGTTCATCTGAATGGAAACCGTCCAAAACACTTTCAATTGATCAGGAAAAATCCTTGAACTATCTGCTACTGTGACGATTTTATTGGATGTTGATACATTTTTGAACGATTTTATTGGATAGTGATACATTTTTGGACTATTTTATTAAATGTGGATTCCTTAATTTTTTCGATCAACTGACAGTGTTTTAAACGGTTTATGTCCTATAGACCTCAAGTGCATATTTATAAAATATTAGAATCTCGTTGGCACAAAATAAAAATTAGGGTAAAATTTACAAAAAATGAAAAGGTTAGGAATTGCTGCTGTAATTTTTTCAAAAAAATATAGGAATAATTATGGTCAGTTTTCCAACCTTTTTAACGTGAGGTGATTATGAATTTTCAGTCTTTTAAAATAAAGTTTTGTATCTTTAAATTATTTTAAAGTAAAGTTTTGTATTCTTATTTTAATAGCACACGGGTTTTGACTCAATTTAAAAGAAAACGTTTTATGGTCTAATGATTTCTTCTTATAGTCACGTAAAAGTCGGTTTGTGATTTCATCATTCTGATTGTTGATTCTGACCGTAAATCTAAATTTATAAGTTTACGCTTTCTCTTTAAAATACGATCAAAAGATTTCACCCCTTTTTTAGAAAGGAGACTCAAACTCAATCTCATCAACCTGAAAAGATTTCGCTCTTAGCACTTGAATATCAAATCGTGACCCTCAAAGAGTTAAATTCGTTGAGATATGCATAATATAGTTTTTCAAATGACATTTTCCTATTTATTGAAAAGTAGAATCATGCTCTACATGACGATTTCAAAATAGAACTCTTCGATTTAAATTCGTCTGTTTATGTGATTTGGTGACAAAATCATTTTTCAAATTGAATTGAAAAAAAAAATGAAGTACATTTTCTATTAATCTTGAAACTCATGACGTGATAGAAAGTATTTCAATCATTTGTTGACTACATGGATTGATATAACTTTGTTAAATAAGGTATGAAACTTCATTCAAAAAGAAAAATAGTCAAAAAATTTAATAACATTTTTTTTTTCACGTCTTCATCAAGAAAAGAAATTCACTTCACCAAATGATGAATAATTTATCCCATTTTAGTGCTATTTGAGTCAATTCTCCTTGATAAGATTCTAACGATTCCATAAAGTCCAATAAATCCCAAAGGCCCATTTCTATCTATAAACTATAAAGCCCAAATACCTTTACTGAACCCAACTATAAACAAAGGCCCACCCATTTTCTCTCCGTTGAGTTTGCCGAGTTGACTCACTTCCTTGACTCTAGGGTCTTCCTCTCAATCCAATCCACCATTAGCGAAGGGAAAGGTAATTCAGAAAAGGAGAGAATTGAAAATTTGATTATAATTTCTTCCTTCTTCATGAATGAATTGGAGAAATGAATAGGGCTACAAGAGCATCAGCGATAATCAATTCTCAGCACATTCCTTTTAAGCTTAAAGCGTCTCTCTTCCATTCCACACCCATCGTGGAGCGCAGAAGACGCACCCATTGGGATTCCGTTAGTATTCTCTCCCCGTCAAACAACAAACATGAACTTTATATATATTGCAGTTTTACATACATGTTTGTTTATTATATGGTTGTGTATGGGGTGATGTGTTGTTGTGTTGAATGGATTTTGCGGAATATGAAAATGGGCTGTATATTTTTAAAGATTTCACCTTCATGGTTCAAAAAAAAAAATTATTAATTAGAGACCCTCCTATGTTTTCTTTATACGAAGAGAAAATAAATGATTTTTTTGGTTTAATTGTCTCTTGTTGCTGATGGGAAAAGGGAAGAACGTGTTTATTTTTACGGGGGAGTTGGAGTATGATCACTGGCTTCTTTGTTGGGCATGGTTTTTTTGGGGATTAGAATGGAATATGTTGTCAAGTTAATTAAAGTTCATAGCATTGACTGGATTGTTTTGAAACATGAATATGGATAATCAATGGATATCATAATTATCATAGTAATAATGGTAATGATTCGAGCTTTCTGTGGAAAAACTACTTTGTTCCAACTCTGATGTTTAAATAATGTTTTAAACTGAGAGTAAATCCAGATTTTCTTAAAAAGATTGTCCTGAGTACTTTGTTGGTGCACGGGAACAACTAAATAGTTAAATGCATTGACGTTGATGCATGAGATTACCACTTGAGCCTTAATCGCTATTTCTCTAAGGAACCAAATTGGGTTAGATGTGCAATTGAACAATTTTCATTTTCTTTGTCGTGCAGGGAGGAGGAGGTGCTTTCAGGGATCCACCAAGAGTGTGTTTTACTTTCTCTTCTTTTAATTATGCTTTTATCCCGGAAAAAGAGAGAGAATATTATCATGATGTGAAGTACCTATGATTTCATTTTGAAGAGATAAGTGTAAAACTTGTTTCTAGTTTTGGTTGTCCTACAAAGATTGGTTGCACTCTTGATAACTTGATAGCAAGTAATTTATTTGGTCTAGGATATCAAAAAATGTTGCCACTGAAGTGGAGAATGATCATTGGTAAGGTTATGAAAAGAGAAGGAAAAGAAGCAGGTGCTCCAATACATTGATTGTGAAGATTAAAGAAATAATTGTGCAAGATGCATCTACATTTGTAATACATTAGCTTCCGTCTTATAAGGGCTCTAGTGGCTTCTTGTTATACATTTAGTATATATGCAATAATCTTGTTTCAGGTTCCCTTATCACATTCCATTATTTCTTAAATTGTCAAATGCCAGTTTCTTAGATAGAGGCTCGATGCTTTGTATATTTCTTAGTCATGGCATGGCACTCCTTAATCCATATTCATGGCAATGTGATAACAGTGTATTCTATGTAGTTGCTGAAAGGAGATAATAGTGGGTTTTAATATCTATTGTTCATTGATTTCCCATGCATAGCAGATGCTACGGGTGGATATCCTGAGAAGCCCATTTTCTTTTATGCCTTCTTGAGGAAACTTCCACCATTAAACAGGATAATAGTGTAAAAGATGTACATGCAGGCTCTCGTTAGACCTGCAAAAGGGTTTTGTATGGTTGATGCATACCTAAAACTTTTTATTGATGATTTTTGTTGGTTTCATGAACATATTGTAATTTTCTTCTCCACGTGTTTCCCTTCCACTGGTGGGCAACGGAATCTTATGCTGCAATAAAGCTAATGACCATAAAATTTTGCATGATTTGACAACGTGCCTTACACTAATATTTGTTTTCTTTCATTGATGGGCAATGAAACCTTATGCTGCTTGCAACATTTATCTGCAGAGGTTTAACCAGTATTCAAAAAGGTTCAGGAAACAAACCTTGTTGCGCAATGTCAGTGAATTTGCAGAGCACCTATTTCAGGTTATTATATCAGTTGAACATTTTGTATCTTATTTTTGGTACATTCTTTTCTTTGCTACTCAAGGTACTGTGGAGGGATGGTGCTAATGGATTTTGCAGAAAATATGAGTAGGAGTATTATTATGTAATTCCAAATATATAAGATGTTCCTATCAATCTTGGTTTAACAGTTGCTTTTTTATGACTACATTTTCAATTCAACATTTTGCCTTATGAATGTAAAGGGGAAGCACTATAAATAATGACTAAGACCACCAATATAGAAATCTCTATCGCAAGTGTTCTAAATTTCAGAACTATCTTGCTGAATTGTGATACACCATTACGGATGTAATACTTTCTTGTAGCTCTACATATCAACTAGTTCCATGAGGAATGGAATAGGGCAGGGAAAGTGAAATTGTGTTGCCATTTTCCACATGGCCCTCCTTTTTCGTCTCCCAAATCTTGAAGAGGTTGGAGAAAGTGAAAGACAGGAAAGGCCAGATTTTTCCAAATAGAATATGTTCAAGGCATACTTATTATGGTTGTTGAATAACCAAATGTTGCTTATCCAAATACCAAAGATCTTTAGTTTTACCTTGTTAGTGATTCTAATCAAGTATTTTGGTTGTACTATCCGTCTTATTATGTGTCAGAGTTTAAGTTTACATCAGTCTTTGAAGCCTTGTTGATGATCAATCTGGCTCTTCCACTTTGCTACTTTTAATACTCTTTTTACTTTTTGTTTCGAACTGCTCATAACCTTTCTTATGTTCATATTCTACCAGAGCTGGCAGTCTGACAGTGATGAGGATGATCAATCTTCAAGTCCAGGACATTCATGGTTCAGACCTCATTTCAGGGATGACAGATTCAAAAGAGGCAATTCGAGAAATAGAGGACCACGAGCCTGGAGAAGTAAGTATTCTAGTTGTTGTATGATTAAGTCAGTATAGATCTGAGATTTTCACATTTCTTCTATCTGTAGTAGAAAACCCTTTTTCATTTTTAACCCTTTTTCATTTTTATCTTTTTTTGGTGGCCTTTGGAGGAGGATTGTAGTTAAGGCCAATTTGGTAAAACCAGTCAAGATATTATTGGTATATTTGGTAGGGAGAATTACATAGTACTTGACAATATTAAGGAAGAAAAAAGAAATTTATTTGTTATATTGCTCAGTAAATATGCACTATGGGCTTACTGCTGCCTCTCTTTTCTCAGACATTGTTAAATTATTTTTCAACCCCTTTAGAGCTTGTGAATTTTGTCCTTGAAGTAGTTCTTGAAATATTTAATCTTTTCAGGACATTTTGAGTTCGCCGAAGATGAGGATGTTGAATTTGAGACCTTTTTTCGTTCTACATTCGGTGGAAACCAATACTTCTATTGGTCTCAAGAACCAGGATACAGGAACTCATCTAGCTACTCTAGTTACTATAGGTCTTCTAGCGATTGGAGGCATCGGTTTCACGAGGAATACGATTCTGATTCCTCTACAGAGTCCGAGAGATCAGAGGCAAATATGACTTCTGATAGGCTGGCACTCGGGTTGAATGCATCGGGTCCTTTAAACCTGGATGATGTTAAAAATGCGTAAGTTCTTATATTCCTTAATGTGAAATTTTTCTTGAGAAAATTGCACCATTGGTCTCAACCACTAACCTCAATAGTTGGTCCCCAACCTTTAAAAAGAGGAAAGTTGGACGAAAACGTTTCATATAGTTGCTTAATCATTCCCCAATGATGGATACTGTACAAGTCATCATTATGAAGCTTGATTTCTCTTCCCAACGAGGAGTAGTGCCGCAAAGCAGGATTCCATGAGGAGTACATATCATTTTGACGGGTCTCTGTCATTGAGGACAAATTTTCCAACAATAATGCATCATTTGGGACCAACTTGCTAATGGGACAATATGTTGGGGACCAATAGCGCGATTTTCCCATATTCATATCCCAGGGAAGAGTGGAAGTTTTTCTTTGGTTTTATTAGACTGCTTTACAATATTCCATTTTCAGATATCGAGCATGTGCACTAAAATGGCATCCAGATCGCCACCAGGGTTCTTCCAAGGTATATCGTTCATTTTTCTATAGCTATTCTGTCTTATCCTAATGATGCTTCACTTTTCGGC